GAAGAAATGGTTTCGCAAGAATTTAGAGTTTTCTTGGTGGCACTGGAAAAAAAGGGTCCTTTTATGTAACAGCGTTACGCCATGATAAAACCTTTCTAGATGCCTAAGACTTCAGTCAAAAAAGGCCATTTTTATACGATAAATAAAGTTCGATAAGCTGCGTTGAATGACGTTTGAACGAACTTCCTAGCTCTTAAACTTTTCGAGATAGTTGAAGAAGAGTGTGTCAAAAACGTAACAGCGTTACGTTTGGACAAGCCGTATCACAGTCAAATACTTTTGAAGTAGACTCTGTCCTTTTTGTCTCTTTATTGTAGTTCTCTTATCCTGTGCCAGTGCACAAAAAGACGACCAAAAATGTCAAGAGGTGACAATAGTCAATAAATTAGAACACCATTAAGTCTGTGTTGAATCCAGATTAATGGTGCTCTAATTTATTGACTTTTGAACCCTGTGGCAGCCTTTGTTCGCATTTCAGAAACGAAAAAATGCTCCTCTTTTTTTCTCTTTTTCTACGGACTGTCGGTGGGATGACAGTATATATGATATATTGATGGATTCTTGAAAATATGTTTGATTGAAATAAGTGCATTGAAAAAACGAAAATCTGATACGTTCAATAAGAAAAAGATAATCTTTTATTTTTTAGTGTGTTTCACATATTGACTTATTATTGTAGATCTTTAACATATGTATTTAAAATACACAATATTTTATTATCTTTGAATAAATATTTGTTCATTTCGTAAATCTAACATAAAAAAAAGAAAATATTTGACTGATTACTTGAGACATGATTATTTGTTCAGATAGTTCCAAAGATCATTGATAAACTCTCCGAATATGGTATCGGTAATGGAATCTTCTCTTCAACCATAGTCACACTATCACTAAAACATATGATGTTTTTTTTGTTTTGTGCGTAAGATTCCTAGACCGGTTTATTCGACCAAACGAATGATTATTATGTGCGAAATGTTTTAATAAGCATAAATAATTTATCTTCTGAATATATTTGTTTCATTTCAGTCTAAGACCAAATCATTGTTAACTATAGAATAGATTATTAATACGAGTTGAGAATATTTTTCTATCTAGAATAATAATAAATAGTTCGACTATATAAGTCTTAAAGTTTGAAAAAACACGATAACATAGACATCTTCTTAAGTATGAAAACAGTAAATGATTTGTAAGAAGAGAGAAATGTCACGTTCACTTTTAGAAATATATCTTAGTCACTTTTTCGTGATAGTAAAAAAAAGTTTATTGGACATTTTTATTGTTGAACTTTTTATATAAGAAAAAAAGTTAAATATTATCAGAAGACATTCGAGATACGTGCTTAATAATCATTAATTCAATGTTAGAGAATCCATATTATGACATTAAATATAAATCAAAATGAAAAGATAATTGACTATCATCAGTAAGATGAACAACATCTTATTTAGTTATAAACTAATGTCAAACGATAGGATCATTACATAGGGACAATTTATATTTATCTTATTAAGAAGATAAATAAATGAATATATGATCTATTAAATATACATATTCGGAACTTTTCAAAAGTCTAATTTGATCAATTTTAAAAAATAAAAAGTAGAAAAATCTTGCGTGACTTATATACAATTATTAAGATGTGCAATATGGAAAGGAGAGATAATCAATAATATTTATAGTGATTACTTTATTCGAATATATATCGAAGTCCGAAAAAATCTTCTTTTGACTAAATTCTATTATTTGTTAATGATTATATAAAATAATAAATATATTATTATATTATTTATTCTTAAACAATCTTTAAGTAAATAAATCCATTATTTACTATTATATTCATTTAAGACAATGACTGACAGATTAGTATTTTACGTTGGATTTCAATCATATTTTAACGATTTTATTCAGAAAAACAATATCGAAAGAAATGTTTTTGTTTTTGTTTTTAAGAATTCTTAATCAATAATAAATGAGATTATATTAAATATGAAATTCTAATCTTATTAATATAGTTGTAATTCTATAATAGATATTATTTTGTGATTAAATTGTCAAATAAAATAAAAATATTTCGAATATTATAGTTCGAATATCTATTTATTATTTATTTCAATATAGAAATAAAACGTCAGATTATTTCTTGTTTTAAACTAAAGAATAATTTAATATAATAGAAAAGAAAAAGAATTTTTTTAAAAACAAAACCATCAATTTTTATTTACCTTTTTTTCTTTTCTTTTTTTCTTTTTTTCTCGTCAACTAAAATAAATGTGAAAGGTTGCCATCGATGATTCTCTTCCGTATGGTTGTTAAGTTTTATAGTGTTCTCGTGTTTTGTTTCTCTGATGCCAATCATTTTCATTTATTTTATAGATGAAGAAAAGAAAAAGAAAAAGAAAAAATTCTTCTTATATTTATATTTATATTTTTTTTTTTTTCTTTTTGATCATAATAATAAAAGAGAAAAGAAAGAAGTAAGTTATCGTTTTGATCACTATAACACACGTTTATTTATTAAAAAACAACAATTTAAAAATAATGTCGTGGGAAATGGAATTAGACGAAACTCTTCTAGAAGATCTTTATATATGGATTGATAGTCTTCCATTATCAAGACCAAAAAAAAGAATTGAACGAGACTTTGCTGATGGTAACTTTTAAACATTTGTTTTTTGTTTTATTAAAAAAAAAATATATTATTTTAAATAAAAGGTCTATTAATTGCTGAAATAATTCGTTATTATTTACCTGATTTAATTGAGATGCATAATTATACACCAGCTAATTCGTTACAACAAAAAAAAGCTAATTGGGGTATATTAAATAAAAAAGTTTTATCCAATTTTGGTCTTGATTTACCAGATGTTATTATAAATGGTCTTTCAAATGGTAAACCAGGTCTTGTTGAAGTTCTTCTTTTTAATTTAAGACTAAAAATCGATGAAGAATTAGAATTACAACAAAAAATGCAACAACAACAAATAATAACACCACGTCAATCTTCACTTTCACATATGACAACAACAACAACTAAAACTAATCAAACAAATTCGTTAACTACTAATCGATCAATTAAATCAACAAAATTGAATAAATTACCATCACATAAAGATATATCTCGTCTTGATTATGAAGAAATAAAACAACAATGTTTACAACAACAAGAAGATATTGAAATTCTTCATGCTAAAATTCGTCGACTTGAACATGTTCTTCAATTAAAAGATATTAGAATATCAGAATTATCAAGAGCTGTTGAAGATAGTCGACCAACAAGACCAACTGCTATTAAGAAAAAATAACTTTCATTATCATCAATCATATTTAATACTATCGATTATCTTTATCTTTTTATTTATTATTTTAAAAACATAAAATATCATGTTTTCAGTTAAAACAATAATATTATATGTCCAATTTTATTTAAATATATTAACTAAACATTTTTTTTTTTTATTTTGATTTTCATAAAACATTTTTGACAGAAACAAAATCTTCACATATTTGACTATTTTATTCAAGAATTTATTCTAATATATTGATAACTATCAATTATTTTAACAAGGTTATTTATCTGATAGAGATTGATTGATACTTATATTCATATTTATATTTATTTATTTATTTATTTTCTATATTCTTTATATTATTCTCCTGTATTTTCATTTGTTCTCTTTTAAGATTAATTAATAATTTACATAAGATATAATATAATAGACTACTGACAAAACCCTATCGACTGTGACTACATTATCAGTATTATCCTATGACTACAGCAATAATCAACAATCATGAATATCGTATGTTTTATAAAATGATCAGAATCTTAACTACTATTAGCAATTCTATGATCATCATTTATATCTATAGAAATTGTCTATTCTCTATAACATAAGTCGATACCTTTTCTACATAATCTTGAAATAGATAGATAGCTACTAATTAATTAATTCATTATTTATAAGAAATCTTTATTGATATATATTAACAGAGATATGATCATATCAGAAATCGAAAAAGTACGAATCACAATATCTATCATATTGAATAGTAAACAAACATATTTGAAAATTACAGAGAATTTTATCCAATGACAACACAGAAGTTTATATTATTTATAATAGATCTATTCGCTTATCCATTTTCTATTTGACTGTTCCAAAACTTTAATAAATGTGTTTGAAAGTCTTTTCAATTCCCTTTCTTTTCTGTTTTGTCTCGTTTTAGCTGGTATCTCTCTGGTTCTTCTTTTCAAAAGATTATCTTTGAGACACTGACGATGCCTTTACTGATTTATGTATTTTATCTCTAAATTATTCTTGCTCAAATCTCTCGAACCTCTACAACAATATTAGAGTCTAGTCAAACGTGGGAGAGATGACGGATGCTCATCGTTACCGTTTGCGTCTCAATGTGAGTGTCACTGTCTCTCTCTGGCTTCGTACTCGCACTTTCGATCTGAACGACGGTTGGCATATTCTTGATTGTGTGGATGTATGTGGTTAAGCCTGTAGCAATCGAATATGAAGTTGCTTGTAAGTGAGTTGTTTGTGCCTTTATGGAAGGTTTTATGTATTCTCGAAGTGTGACTATTTGATCAACCTTGAGAGTATCGTTAACTTTTTAAATATATGCAGATCTATTTCTTGGTATCCACCTGATTACACAAAATTCATTTAAAATTCTCATTGTTTTATAGACAGGAGATTTATGTAAAATGTTAATAGTCTACTGTTTGAATATAATGACATTCCTCTGATATAGTTGAATTGTGAAAAGAAATTCTAATGAATAATATAAAATTTGAATAAGGGATAGTTAAACAAGATGTTGAATGAATGTTAGAAGTGAATAGTTGAATCTCTAAATAATCTGATCGAACTATTTTAATATTCAATGAAATAAATATTTTGTGTTTTTTATTATTTTAATTTAATTTCGTGTGAGAATGAACAAAAAAGAAAAGTGAATATATTAAAATAAATAATGTTTGATTAAAATAAATAAATATAATTGATAAAAATAATTAATAATGTTAATATAATAAATATTGATAAATGATAATGATAATGATAATGATAATTAGCAATATTATTAATAAAAAAATCATAATTAATTGGTATTAATAATGAATATTGTTTTATTTGTGTATGATATGTTGTTTCATAAGATAAATAATTTGATTTATTTATATTTATTGAATAATAATTAAAAAAAGCATTTTTCATAAATGATAATTGAAAATCTTGTTGAATAATATCAATTAATTTATCAGTTAATAATTGATTATTACATTGATTATATTTACATGTATATCGAATTATTTTATCTTCTCCAATATTTATTTTATTTAATAGATTTTCTTCAATTAAAATCATATTTATTGTTATATGAACTTCAATTAATGCTTCAGAATTTTTATGACATTCAAATAAATAATTTTTATGATAACTTGAATATTTTCCTGAACAAACACCTGTTGAACATTTCGATAATTTAGCTTTATCAATAAAACAATATTCTAAATGAATAATAAAAATAAATTTGTTGATTTACAAAATGAAAAATATTAACCTGTATGATTAAAATCTTGAAAAAGAATTGATCTTAAATTAGTTTCAAATTGAGTATAATTAATATTTATAAGCCAATCAATATGATGATAAACAAATAATTTATTACATTCATCTTGATCATAACAAGCATATTCTAAAACATTATAATAATCAGCTTGTGTTATATTATCTTGATTAAACATAATTAAAAAATCTAAACGTCCTTCACCATGATCAAGTTTACTCCATTGAAATGAATCTCCAAAACTAATTATTAATAATCGAGATTTATAATCAACATATATTTCAACTCTACACATATCAACATTATCATCATTATAATCATAAACAGGGTATTTATCAACTTTTTCTTTAAATATATCATTATTTAAATCATCTAATGACCATTCAGATGATCCTTCAGAATAAATACAATATATTCCAAAGATTTCTAGAGGAATATTTAATAATAACAATAATAATGTGAATAACAACATCCTTTTTTTAACTATTTACATCGAATGAATCTTAGTTTTTTTTTTCTCTTATATTAATATCCGGATTTCTTTTTTTTTGTTTTTTTATTTTTTATTATATAAATCAATCATCGAGTTTTAATATTAAAGAATATTTTATTAACAAAATTTTTCATTAAAAAAATAAAATTTATTCTCTTCGATATATATATATATATCTTAAATAAATATATATTAGTAGTTTTTAAACTGATCAATCATATAAACTAATAAAAATATTGTTTTTTTCTTCGATTTTATCTTCATAGTTAAATAAATGTTATATTAAAGTCTTTGATCATTATTTTATTGACATGTTTAGTTATATTCTATCATATTCAACATTTAATAATAATGTCATTGATATATCTACTATCTACATCGATTCTACGACAGTTCAATAATAATTATTTTCTTATTTTAGAAATAAATCAAGTTTTACTGTTAAATTTTTCATAAATTAAATCAATAATATAGAATATCCTATTGAAAGTTTTTATTGTAAAATCCTAATTAATTCAATAATTTTAAACAAACGTTTAACTATAATTAAATAATCGAGAGACTAACGCAAGATAAATGAAAATAGATAAAATGATTTATAATGTTTCGATTTTGTCACATGTTACATCCATAATAAGAGTAGCACCAGGTGGAATAGCATTTCCAGCACCAACATCTCCATATCCATATGATGGAGGAATTATTAATTTACGTTCTTCACCTTCACATATACTAGAATAAGACAATATTTTATTTATTTAAACAATAAATAAAACAAAATATGAAATATTAAATAATAACTTAAGTAAACCTTGATCCCATCCTTTAATAACTTGTCCATAACCTATTTTAAATACGAATGGATGACCACGATCATATGATGAATCAAATATTTCTCCACTAGATTTTAAATGACCCTGAAATATATATTTTATTTATTATTCAATATTATATTATAGAAATAAAACACTTCCTATATATTGCATATATAATGTATCTCCAATTTTTGATCGTCTATTACAATTTTCAACCTTTTTTGTTGTCATTACTTGTAATTTTTCTTCAGCCAATGATAATACACATCGAAACAAACAATATATTAATACAAATAATATTGAAATGAACAAATTTAACTTCATTTTAATCTAAACAAAAAAAACAAACAACTATTTCAACAAAGAAAATCAAGAAAATAACGTAACGATAACAAATAGAAGAATGAAACAAAGTAGAGGTCAATCTAGAAATAGATTGACATGGGCCTTTTTTTTTTCTTGCGTTCTTGGTAAGATAACATTCCCATCCTCGTATTCCATAATATATATGATTATGATTAGTCTTTTATCTAGACAAATAACATAGCTATATACATTAATAAAACCAATTGTAAAATAGTTGAAACAAACAAACAAAGAATAAATTCTATATTCAATACGAAATATATTAATTATTCAGAGAAACTTTATCAAATTAATTTTGATATTATCAAAAACTAATCAGTAGTCACTATAGAATAATGACAATCGTCACACCAACATTAACATTGACATTTGTCTTATACCGTAACAAACAAACAAAATCACTATTTTTATTGTTTCTTTTCTTTTTATGTGTTTTTTTTAAAGTCAAATGACAGAATATTGATCATCTAAAATCATCTTTATATTGAGACTCTATTGAAAAAAACAAAAACAAAATATAATAATTGAATTTATTTGAAACATTAAATAAAATAAATTTCGATAAATCTTATTTTATTTATTTGTTTTTTTCCGAGATTAATTTATAATAAAAAACAAAACCAATTGAATTTCGTTATGATGAATATTATTAAGGTTTCTATCGGTTTTATTCAGCTTAATAATTGAATTTCTTTCATCAAACCAAGAATAACAAGCAAAAACAGTAACTAAAAAAACAAATAAAAATTGATTATTTCATATTATTTCTTGTCTTGTTCTATTAAGTAAAACTAAAAGAAAAGAAAAAAAGAGGCATATGGATCAATATTCATCTTCTTATGTCTCAGTTGTTCCACGAATAGTTTCATCTGAATATTCATCAAAGGTAGAGTTTTCATCAAACGATAACAATAATCAATGAAAATAATTCGATTTTATTTTAAAGAAAATTCCAATGATTGATCAAGTCAATAATCAACCTTTAGATAAGAATTCTTTAATAAGATATACAAGCCCAACAACAACAAACTTAAATCGTTCAGTAAATAATCGTCCATTATCAACAAGATTAAAAATAATTAATAATAATCAAACAACAAATAAACAAGAAAGTCCATCAGTTAATCAATCATTTATATTAAATAATCTTGAAAATTCTTTTAATGATCGAACAAAGTTTGTTTATTTATTTATTTAATAAATAATTAAACAAATATAAATTTAAAATAGAACTGGTATTTATCATGAACCACTTAAAGATAATAGTGAAGATAATATTATTTCTCGAAATTCTTATTTGAAATCTCCTCATCAAAATAGTTATGATTATCGTTTATATGAAAATTTAAAAATAAATTCAAATAAAGATAATAAAAATAATAGAATATATTCATATGGATTTATTATTATTATTATTGGAATTATTATTACTTTAATTTCTTTAACAGCATTATCTATTTCCATTTATTTACTTGTTAAAATAAATAATTCATTTTCTTTTTAATAATAATAATATCGAAATTTGTTGATATAAAACAAAATAGATTATTTTTACTTTCAGATAAATTATTCAAATAAAACTGATTTATTGATAAATAAAAATTTATTTTCTAAACATTTTAATAATAGATTAGTTTAGATCGATATTATATATTAAAGGATAAATGATGAAAATTAATTTTAAAATTCTAATAAGAATATTAGTCATAACAAACTTATTTTGATTTCGTATAATATAGGCAAGATGATATGAACATTGAAGATTTTTATTTCCGATTTATTCTAATCATTTTAAAACAATAAATAAACTTTTAGTTTTCATATCTCTATGAAATTGATAATATGAATGTTCAGTGTTTTCCTCATGAATAAATTCATTATTTACTTGAAATTTTGAACAGATAGATACTGATATTCCGATTATCTTATTTCAATATCTTAAATCTATTTAACATAGCTAAAATTAAAATTCGATTTAACTAAATGTTTTTGTTTAGAGCGCATTAAAACTTCAATTTGTTTGATCAATCGAGTTTAAATCAAACGTTTCAATTATGATCGATGCTATTCATTTATATGCATAACTGGTTTATAAAAGTCCAAAAAGAAAAAAAAAATATAATATAGAAATTGTCAAATCAAATGATAATAAAAAAAGTTAAAAATCTAAATGAAATATTTCAATAATAAAAATCTATTTAATTTTCATCGTTAAAATTTAATCTTTCTAATTTAATATGTTGGTCTTTTTCTTTGGTTTTTGTTTTTTTAGGAATTATTTTAATCAATAATAAATAAATAATAAATAAACTAAATATGATAATAAAATAAAATTGATTAAATAAAAATAATATTAATAATAGAAAATAAAGGACAATATAGTTTTTAATATCGAATTCAACTTTAGAATATTTAATTAAATAATAAGGAATATTGGCAGATGTTCGCCATCGTTTCCAAGTTAATTCTTGACATAATGAAAGTTCACTTTCAATTTCAAATGATAATTTATAAGCTCTTCTAAACCATTCGTTTGTTAATTGATCAGCCTTAAAATAAAAATAAAAATAAAAAACTAAATTATCTCTAAATTTCTTAATTGAATAAATATAAATAAATTACTTTATGAAAATAAAGTACAGTTAAATTATTTCTTTGTTCTTGTGAAATATCTCTTGATAATAATATTTTTGATTGACAAACAATATCATATTCTAATTTATTTCTTTCAAATTGAATTTTTTTAATAAGTTTATTATAATATTTGATTATATTTCTATTGATTATTTCTGATTTCCACCAAATATTATTTGATGAATAAGTCAAAGATGGATTTGATATCGAATTATTTGATGATGAAATAAATGCGGGAGGTATCGATTCCGAAACTAACCATATTGGTTTATATATAGATAAACAAGGTAATGATGTACAAGTAGCATAATGGACTGGTATTGAATTATTTGATCTTGGAATAACTGAAACTAAAGATCCTGTTGTTTGATTAAATTTAATTGGTCCAAATCCAGCATGCATACATATATCAACATTAGTTAAACCATTCGATGGAGAATTTCGAGAATGTTTATGATCACGTAAAACATTAAACATATCAATAAGAGTAAATTGAGAAGATTTTTTATTTGATTTCTTCGATAAATTTTCAATTAAATCTTTCGATCTATGTTGTCTTATTTGACCAGATGCAAAATGTGTTTTAATAAAAGCATTATAGAATTCTTTAGGATAAAATGAAAGTCCTGAATAACATTTTTGAAAATGGAAATCATCAATTGAATGACACCATCGATTTTCAATAGCTTGTTCAATTAAATTTTTTGAATATTCATCAAATGTTTGAATATTTCCAAATGAAATAATATTTGAAATAGTATGAATTCCTTTTATTATTTTTTTTTGCAGCATATTCTTTTCCAACTGTTTCAATAATCCATCCTTCTTTAGAATCAACTAATAAAAAACTTGAATGATAATAAAATTTTGATGTAAAACCACAATTTCCTCCTTGTCCATATTTATTTAATAAATAAATAATTGTTTCTTTTCCTTCTCGACTTGTTGAACATCTTTCAAGTACTAATCGAACTAAATCCATTCCAGTTAATCCTTCTCTATAAGATGGAATTTTAGTAAATAATGCTTCATTTCCAATAACAAGACCATGACAATTAAAACCCATCTCAGCACCAAATATATTTGTTGGAGAAAATAATATACATGAATGAGTTTTTTCAACTTGATCAATTTC